ACAGTGCACCGCCTGGGCGCACCAATACAAAGGAGACAGAGAATGTCAGGATGTACCAACTGTCAATACAGGGGAGGACAGTGGTTGTTGGAGAATGTACCAATTCCCAATACAAAGGGAGACTGGAGTGTGAGAACCATCTACTAATAAAAGGGTGACAAGAAATGGGAGAATGTATCAGCTGCCAGTGCAGCAGAGCACACAATAAAACATTGGAGTCTGAACATTTTGAAATGCATGAGCTATTTGTCTATTTGTTCTGGTAAACAAGTATCAAGTATACTTTTCATTCGTAGGAGTGTGGGAGTCTGTGTGGCAACATTGTCTGGCTCCATGGGTGTGTGTTTTTGAGAGAATGTGTGTATGTGTACGTGTAGTAATGTGTGTGGTCATGTGTGTACTACACTAAACTGCATTTACATGGAGTGAGGATTAAATTGAGTGTGTGCGTCTGTGCATGTGTACATGTGTGCGTGAGTGTGTCTCCCTCTATCCCTCCTGGGAGTTCGTGCTCAGTTGTTTACCTGTCTAATGGCCTGATCATATTCCTCACTATCTCTGGGAAGAAACCCTGGATCCATAAGGGAAGCTTTTAGGAAGAGAAACCACATCAGTGCATTGGCGAGCAGGAAGGCCACATGAAACTCCCATAGCTTGTTAAAGGAGACCGAGACAATCTGCACAGGGGGAGACAGAGAAAACAGCACTCGTTAGGGGCCACACTAATGCTCCCAGCTTAGAGCAGCAAACAACATGTGAGCGAGACTCTCCGTGCCTCTCTGCACGTGCGGCTGGACACATTGCTCCCAATGACAGGCCATTAGACTAATGTCCTCCATTACTGGAGCCTCATTTAGGAATGCCGATATCAAAGACGTTAAAAGACTCAGAGTGGGGTGGACCATTTGGAACCGCTGAGTAGCGTGTTCCCTTTTGCAGTGTTCTAGAACATGGAAATGACCTGCTGTGACTTGCGCCGAGAAGAGAATCTGCCACGGCTATTCCCCTCTGATAAACACGGCAAGTAGACGGATGCTGCCTTACCTTGAAAAAGTAAGTGGGGTATCCCCAAAGGAAACAACAAGCCAGCAGGAAAAGCACAGGGCCTTTGGATTTTCCAGGTGGGCCAAACACCAAGGCACTGCCAAAACACAACAGAAACCGAAGAGGTTAAAATCGCACCATCCTGGACTTTCCCTATCGATTCTGTATGCTGATTAGATTGAAGAGTTTGAGGAGCAATTTGCCAGAAAGCACCGGTGGCATACTCACTCAACTGTACACTGAGTGGGATTGATAGACAAAGAGGATTATGTGTTTTTAAAATATGCTGAAAGAGGATTATTTTATATCAGGGGACCCTAGGGGGATTTTTAAAAGTCTACCCTGGTACATTTTGGGGGAGGAGAATCTCCAATGACCTTTTCAACCCCCCCTAAAACATGCTTTTAAAACTGACAGGCTCCCTGCACTCTGAATGTATAAGGAGTCAACCCAGTTCAGCGCCAGCGCCTCGACTCTCAGACAGCCAAAGTGCATGTTTATATTTATCTGTCACTAACTTCCTCTGCCAAGAGCCCTACTGGCCCTGCAGTCTGGGGGCGGGGCTTATTTACAGTCGTGTCCTGGTGGATGCAGGCCTCTGTGTGCCTCAGCATCGCATAACCTCGGTTCCATGCAAAGGAGGACAGCAAGAAGTTCGTTTTGCGCAAGAAAATACAGTTTCCGTAGTAATCTCGCGTGATCAAAGCCTTATCGCTGCAGGGTTGGATTGCTGAAACATCTGTGGCTCATTTTGTGTTCCCTGATCGGCTATCTTGACAAGAAGCTTGAGAGTCTCCGATGATTCAGGTAGAGAGGCAAAAACATACACAGGCATATACACCTGACAGGACTGGTTCACAAGGAGTAATAAGACCAACAGAGTTACAGAAAAGCAGTTCTACTTCAGGATACCCCTCTATTCTATGCCCCAAAGTACAAGAGCAACACACAGATGCTGCACTTTTAGTATTTCTCCTGCTTCAATTGATTTCTCTTTATGTCTGTACACATTTAGCATACAATTTTGATTCCAATGATTACACTGCTGACAAATGAAAACCCCTTTCAGAGAGCTTGTGAAAGCTCCTTGTTTGCGGTTTATGTGAAACACAGCAAAAAGGGCTGCACATGTCTACAAAGGCCTTTTCCTCCAGTTATTTAATTCAAAACTATTCATAATTGATGGGGAAAAGTCTGCTTTAGAATAACTCTCAGACTGCCAGTCTCAAGCGCGCTTTGCAAATCGACATGGATGTCCATTCTCCACGGAACACATTTTTTAAAATACAATACTGCGCTAAAAATATTCAGTGTGGAAGTAAAAGGCTGTAATGGCACACGCCAGCGCAACCTGAGGGGGCTGGTTCTCTATTTATATCCTCTTATCGAAGCTCAAGAGAGTGCTATTACTTTCCATCATCTTGCTTTTTTTAAAATATTGGCAGAAAGCTTGCAGCACTCCTGGACACAGATCAATAGTCTCTTGATTCTGGAGCCCGTCCCCACAGAACCTGGACCTCTGGATGCCCCACGGCCAGGTACTGACAGGAAGGGTCAAAATGCGCCTGTCCCATTTACAGAGGTCAGAGGTCACAATGGAGGCCCAGCCAAGACCGCTGTCGAAGACCTCCATCACACCAGGAGTGTGGCAAGAAGAGGCTGTCCAGGCCTCTTTCTCACCCTTCGCTTGATAAGGAAGTAACTTCAGAGATCATTAATGGGAATGTACTGGGATTTCAGGGTCTAAAATGGCTCCGTCAAGGAGTGTGGCTGCCCACTTCTGCATGGTACCCACAGTACCCATTGTAGACAATCCAGCTACAAATTCAAGCCTCTGATACTGTACTGTGCTGTAAAGTGGGAGGAAACCCTACTGACCAAAACCAACACATTTGATCAAAGGCACTCACCTCCAGTCGAATTTGGGAATTAGTCGACCCGAGCGGGCTATTGCGTTTTCCAGGTACGCAGATATTTCCCTGTGTTTACGACCTCGGGATAGTTTCAGAGGGGTGTTCCCATTCTTATCCTCTGTTTCCAAATCCACTCCATCCTGCCACATGGGAAAGACAGACAGAAGAGCCGATAGGGAAAACAAAGCAGCAGATGGTTTTGGTCTAGATCACACAGTGTGATACTAGCCCTGATTTAGCTGGGATAATAGCCCTTGTGAGTTTACTTGTAGTGAATCAGACATTCGCCAGTTATGATATCTCATCTTCTAAGGACTTATGAGCTATGATTCAATATCAAGCAAGTCAGAAGATTTTTATCAGAATCAGATTTAGGAGCTGGTGTCACAGTTAGAGCCACTCAAAAACAGCCAACCAGAAAAGACCATTCAGCAGCCTAATATCCAGTCAGTTTCTGTAAACCAACTCCTGTAGAACTGCAGCAAGGAACAGTGACGGAAGAGGACAGATGTGATGGCAACAAAACAACAGAAAACAGACAACAGGCGAATAATAATGGAAATATTAATGGTGATAATTGCAGGTTTATCCTGAGGTGGTGACACAAACCAGGAGTCCCAGAGTGTGACAGTGGTGTGGAATATTAGCCTTGACTCTGCCAGCTCCACAGGAGCCAACTTGCTTAGCATTCTGGGTAAGCACACCGCACGTTTTCTCACCAGTTTCAACACCCATACTGACTTACACACTTTTCAGCACGGTTTTAATTACTGCCTTTACTGAAATTCTCAGCCCTTTGGTGAAGAGCCCACTGCTCTAGCCACTAAACCACAATGCAGGTTTATCGATACTTATTAAAAGGCTATCTGCAGAGGCAGTCATCACAGTCTGTCACAATAGTAATGTCAAAGCAGAGCATAAGAGCAGACCTGCTCCTTATGTTCCCACTTCCACGTTGCTTAACATTAAAGCGCAAAGGAATCAATCAAGCCTAAATCCGTTACATCTGTAACAGGAGTTACCCCGAAATGTGATGGATCCACCAGCAAATCGCGAATGCACGAGAGGGTAAACAGGTTTGCCGGCACCTCCTACAGGGCGAATCTCCACAGAAATCGGAGCTAATTAACACAGAGAAGGGAGGAGAGGGGGTGGGGGGTGTCCTGCAATCTGTTTCCTCTGACTCAGCTGTCAGCATGGATTACTCCACTCGGACTGTTGGCTTTCTCCTTTCCCTGGCTCGCCTCTCCTTCCCCTCAACTTTTACAACCCAAATGTAATGGATTCTGACACCGGGCCCCTTTCATGACAAGATCGCTGAAAAATATTTCAGAACAATAGAAAGGCAGCAGAAAGTATGCCATTGCCATTGTGGACTGCATAAAATGCAATGGACTACAAACGAAATGGAAGTGATTTGAATTAAGGCCTTTGATACCTCAAATGCTTAATCTGACAACTCTGGTAACAACATTGCGGCACAAAAAATGTTACGGTCACGCAAGGCCACAAAAGCCAGTCAGCCAGAGGAATCGAATGTTCTGATCCAACAGCTGTTTCATGCATGCAAAGCTTTCACATATGGAAATTAATCAGTTAAGCCTTATAATTGATTCAGTTACACAGTAAGTAAGCTAATTTTGATGGTAAAAATATATATTAGCATATGTAAAGCACCTCCCTTCATCCAAAGCAATCTGCACTGGCATGTCTCCTCAGAGACCCTCTACATATCAGTCACATTTTTAATGTACTTAGTAGAGGCAGCTATCCTGGGTGACCTACTCTTACATCTCAGAGGTATCAAGGTAGACAGATATATTTTTACCAGGGCAATTAGAGTTAGATACACCTTCTCAAGGGCAAAAGAGCAGAGCAATGCCCATGATTTAAATCCATGACCTTCCTCTTCTTCCGGCCCTAAGCAATACCACATGCTGTTATCCATTTATGCACCTGCATTTTTTTAAACCAACAGAGAATTTTAGATCATCATCATCGTCATTTAGTAGACGCTCTTATCCAGAGCGACTTACATAGGTAACCCAGCGGGGAATTGAACCAACAACCTCTCAGTTACGAGCCCTGTGCCTTACCACTATGCTACACTGCCGACCCCTTTCTGAAAGGTACTTTGGCGTCTCACACCAATATTTCTGTCAGGGACTTGACCCAAAAACCCTCTAGACCCGAGTGCCACCACATACCACTGTCCTTATGGAGTACAAGAGTAGGCCAAGTCAAAATAATGTTCACAGCCAAGCTCAGAAAAAAAAAAGCTGCAGGTGCTCCTAGCAACGCACTGACCTTGTTCAGCACAAGGTGAAATGAGCTTGACATGAGGGCATGAACCCAGCTTCCTCCCGCAGACGCAGTGGGGACAAAACACTTTGAAGCTTCAAGCCTCTGTTCAGCCAGTGGGAGCACAATGCACTAATTCAAGCTGTGCCCTGCATCTCGGCAGTCACAGGTGCGGCGTGCTGATCAATCAATCAAAACCGATTTGATTTAGCGCTCTTAACAAGGGTAACCACGGAGCGCTTTCAAGTGCATTTTACAGTAACAACGTGAGTTAACTCCGGATGAAATCTGAGAGGAAGAGCAACAATGTTTTGGCAGCTGATAGAAAATAACCCTGAGTGACAGTCATGGAGGCCATGGGATGTGATCAAATTATCCTTGATCTCAGACAGAGGGATGTGCTAATGCAACAGCTTACAGTTATATATAGCAAGTCATCGTATGACCTTGATAAAAACCTCACAGAACACAGAGCTAAAATAAGTGGAAAATTTCCCCATAGATCCCTTAATAGTGACCAGAAATAAACTTTAAGAGCTTCAAGAACTGAACTGAGCTCACAAAGAAAGTTGCAAGATACGCACAGAATTCACAGAAAAAAATATTTGTACCATGTCTGAACTCACTGATCAGATCATGCTGTTAACAAGTCTCCAGCCCATCAGTGAAGCAGCCCAACTCTGGCCAGACAGTCCTTTTTTTACACCATGTAAAAACAGCGTTGACAAGGGACAAAATGTGTGTGGGTTCAAAACTACAAACACTCAGACACAGCAGACATTTACAGCAGTGTTTATGGTACATTTTCATTGCTTGCAACTGTTAGTGCACAGTTTTTTTTTTTATTGTGAGTTCTAGAACATAAGAGCTGCCTGCGCTGTGCAACCTTACTGATGGCCAGTCACCTGATCCGAGACGGCTCTCTGGTCGAGGTGCCGTTTCAGCGGGGCAGTTAACATCGGCGCGTGCCTCGCCTTTAAAAACCCCAGCGCCATCTCCGCTCCGCAGCGCGAGAGCAGCCAGGGAGAGCACGGAAGGCAAATTTAATTTCCTGTCGGAGGAGCCGTGCGTCACCATCGCAGCGTCCCCCATGGAGCTGATGGGATCAAATGACCCCCATCCCCTCATCACCGGATCTGAGCATGAGCCTGCAGACGGTACAGTCCTCCGCTTCGGCCTCCACAGGCTCGCACCATCACTACAGCTTTGCTTTTCGCAGCGGAGGAAGCAGTAGGAACGGAGCATTTGGAGGATCTTACATGCTGGTGACTTTTTCCCATTTTGTCTTAGAGCTATTTAATCCCTTACTAAGTGAACACTGTTTCTAAAATCTATTTCCCTCTTCCCTTAATTCTGTCCATAAAACTGTGATAAGCTAATATTTATTCGTAATATTTTCTTCATACTTTTAAGACCCTTTTAACCAGCGAAAACCTACATAGCAGTTTACACGTCCACTTAGACAGCTGGATTAAGGTTTTAACATCTTAATTAAGGTCAAGCACCTTGTTCGAGGGCACAGCAGTGTCCCAGCTAGGATTCAAACTCGCAACCCTCCAATAACAAACACGGTGTCATGGGCACGACTCCATATTTCCACCTGAATTACCGGCTTTGCTGTCCTCCTCGTCCTTCTGTAAACATATGGAGAGTTGGACGTAAAGGATGGGCCTGTTTACCTAAGTTTGTTCCTCCCTGACAGATTAAAGGGCGACAGAGGTCACCGCAGACAGACTCACCTGTTCACACAGCAGCTGCACAGTCAGCAGGTCTCCGCTGAGGACGGCCAGGTGCAGGGGGTCTGTGGGGGGGGAAGGGGGCAAGAGAGAGACATCCACGTCAGACCTGCCACTGACCCTGTCACCGCCTGCCGGAGTCAACCCGGCTACGGCAGCCGTGTCACCCCCTCCTGCTGTTACTTTGCATATCATTAGCTAAAGGCACACAGCTTTGTCACCTTCAGGTAAAAAAAAAAAAAACTGTGGTCTTATTGAAATAACAGCTCTCACAGTGGTGTGCTATGCGTAAGATGACCAGCTGCGTCTGAGAGTGGGCATAAGCCTTGTGCGTGTGTAAAATGTTCTGTACTCAATTTTCGAAAATGCTATTTCAGGTGCTGAGCCTTATACATCATAAATTAATGTTCACGTTTGCAAGATCAAGGTTTCTCTCTCTTGCTTGTCTCTACCATTGTTGGAATACCTCATATCTCCCCCACCAAAAGCTTTTACTGTGCTTAACAAAAGATCACCTTTCCATTTGCTGAGTAGCACAATTGTTAAAGGTGGTCTTTTATTAAGTACAACACAAATAAATGTATAATTCGTCTTTGAATACGGCCAGAGATAATATTCTCAGGAGTCATATATATTAGACCAAACATATTAAAGATTTGCTGCATATTTTACCTTTATAAATACTGTCATACAACAAAGACATTGTAACTTGAGAGCACCAGTCCAGAAAGTCTTAATCAGAGACATATTTGCATTATGTAGACACAAAGTAGACAGTGCTGTTTTTACTCACTTACACTGTATTAGCAATTGCCATGTTTAGTATCCTACAATATTACATATTCAAACAGGAAATAACATGGATTCCGACTCAAATGTAAACTGCTTTGAAGCAAAGAGGAGCTCACCATTTAATAAAATGCTGCAAAGTCAACTTCTGACAACTGCACTTATACGCTCAAGGCTGTTGTGACATTATGGTCTTAACCAGGGAATAAACTTCAGGCATAAGTAAAAACAGCAGGATTAAAAGCCGACCAGCTACACATAATGCAATATGGTGTCTTAAGCTATATTCAGTTTAAACAAGGCGACTGCGCTAACAGATATTCCTTTTACCTTAATTCACTGAACTTTAAATCACTGCCATAGTTTCCCTCCTGCCCAGGTGTACGGAGCATAAAAGCTGCATAATCAGAGGTGAAGGTTCAACATTTCAATATGGTTTATACAAAGTAAATGGAGAGGGCAAATAAAGAACCCATACTGTCAAGATAAACCTTTTAAAAGAGGCTAAAAGAACTATTAAATAAAGGAACCTGCCCGGTTATAATAGCGAGATGGTAATTCTCACTCCAGGTGGTCTGGAGGCAGTAACGTGGAAGCAGTGGGGAAAGTTCCACTGAACAGTTCTTCATACTGTCCGTCTGTCTCCTCTGACACACACGCACACACGTTTGCACGCACACACGCTCACACACACGCATGCTCACACGCGCACACGGACGCTCCAGACGCCTGATCAAAAGCATGGTATTAAAGAACCACGGCAGGTGTGGAGGGGCAGTCATATCAATCTATGTGAAATTCTCAACCGGCAAAACCACATTCAAATAACATTGACTTCAGCTGTATTAAAAAAAAAAAAAAGAACTTTCACATGCGACTCATTACATTTTTTTACATTACTTTACATTACTGGCATTTAGCAGACGCTCTTACCCAGAGCGACTTACATCGCTTACAGGAGTTCTAGCAGAAGAGACACAAGGGGCTGCAGGATTTTGGCCATCATTTTAAAAGGGTAAGAAAAACAGTGGATTTTTTTTTTTTTTCTTTTAACTTATGTTCCTTGATGAATAACTATTTTCGGAAAATACACAGAGCATTGGATTTTATGGACTCACTGTAGTCATATTTAACCATATTTAACAGGGATTAACCCCTGGCACTGTGGCTCAATTCCCAAACCTGGCTCTGTCACACCAACCACCAACAGTAACCATCCTCAGGACCGGACACATAAACCCTTGCACCCGTCCTCTCCCCCGAGAAGAAATGGTTCATTTGACCCTCCTGTTAAAATAAGCCCAAGCCACAAGGTGACCCTTCAATTTCATTTCACCTTGAAACGTACAGAATGATATGAGGAGACATTACAGAAGGAGGTCCTCCGTGAGGTGCGGCAGACCTTCCCCTCTAAACGGCAGAGTCAAACGTACGACTGAGACAAAATGTCCCACTGAGCCACATATTTAGGAAAACAGCGAGGGGGCTACTGAATATGCAACACAGCCGTGCTGATGAGCGCTGAACTGCCCATGGGGAGACCAGGGAGCAAAGACAAGTCCTTGAAGTGCCCAGCGCTCGTGGCGTCAGCTGACTCACACACACACACACACACACACACACACACACACACACACACACACACACACACACACACACACACAGAGAGCAGTCTGTCGCTGGCAGAGCACTGTAAGGAGAGACTGAGGACAAAATCCTGCAGGGTCTTTATTTAGCAGAGTGGAGGCAGAGGCACAGAGATAGTGTTCCCCTCCCTGCCGCCTGCTTCCGAATCTCCCCTTACCCACCAGAGACGGGCAGTGCCCTCTGGTATTTCATTCACTAGATGGTGTGGGGTGTGAGGCCAGGAAGAGAGGTCAGAAAGGGGGCATTGGACCAATGATCACAAAAAGGAGCTGTCAGCACCGGCCTTGACCAATGGCCACACAGAGGACAGGTCCCTGAGGCTTGGGACGTCAAAGCAATGACCACACATAAAGCTCGAGAGTTGTGTGTTTTTCGTGCTAGCACTCACAGTAACTCAACCACAGTGCCCTCGGTGACTCATGTTCCCTCTTCCTGTGTGGCGCGTTGCATTATTAATCCAATGACTGTACCGCACACAAAAACCGCACACAGCCAACATGACGCTTCTGAAACAAACACACTCATCCAGACTGGCTCTCTGGAAACTGGCACCCCACACAGTCCCTCGCCCTGTGTTTGTTTTTACCTGACTATATCATGCAATGTACCACACACAGACGGAAGAACACACACACACACA